ATGTATATATTACGTAAAATTTAATTATGTATTTGTTATTAGTAATTAATTTTATTAATTAATGCTAATAATTTATTCAATAATTAATTTTGTATTGTTTTTGTTCCCGAAAATCGACAAAATCAAAAGAATATGTTGGGCGGCGTATTGGAGCATGATACCAAATTGGTGGACTTTCGACCCTGGACACCCCCTTGAAAAATTTTTGTGTGCGCTACTGGAATCAGTTGAATGTTACATACAATGGTCTCCGTTATCTGGAATGAACGGTCTTAAGAATCAGTGGCTTAAGCAGACTTCTTTTATGGGAGGGGGAACACGGCAGTCTAGAGTACGGAGAACCAGTGTTTATTAACATTACACAATAAATTAAGCTAAACTAAACTGAACTCAGTGGCGCAACAGCCCATGAGGACCAAGGCCTACTGTGCCCATCTCAGTATACGTGACCATTGGGCGCTGAGGTGCATGAGCAGATGTTCCGATCAGGTGGTCAGCTTGGCACGAAGCCCCAGTGTTTAGTCCCCAAGCAAGCTTGGTACTCATTTATCGATCCACTGAAGGGATGCAAGGCAGAGTCAACCTTGCCCAGACTGAGGATAGAACCCCGGACCTGTAGTGTGGAAGCGCGATACACTACCACTCGGACACTGTGCTTCCACACAATAAAGCAACACCAAAACACTTGAAACGGACATCGTAATTCAGTGAGTGAAAGAATATTAACGTCGCAATGTTTAACTACACGAGGGCTTTTGGCGACGGACCACGAAATTTTGAACCATGGTCAAGTGACGTGGACGACACCTGAGCTGGTAACCCCCTCTTCTAACTACCACACCAACGGGAGGACATTTGAGCTCTCAACAGATTTAACGTGCATCGCTGCCTTACACAGCGGGTCTTTAGTGGTACTGGGCTCGAACTCATGGCATGTCATGATCCGATACCTTTACCACTGGGTTATCGCAGCCCCATCGTAATTCAGAGTCAAGGTCAAGTGACAATGACACGAACTAGTAACGCCCTCTCCGAACTTCCACACTACAGCTGCAGGAGAACTTCGAGTCTCGATAGGTTTAACGTGCATCAGCTTCTCTGCATGGCGGGCCTTAAGAGACAACAGGGCTTTCTTTACTTTTAAGGGTGGCTCACAATAGCGTATGATATGAATTGAAATAACACGATACATCTCATAAGCCGCATGATCGTGTTATATGACAACACACACACAAATTAAATAGTACAAACGTTCATATAGTTC